GGAGCTCCACCTTGACCCCCCCGCCATGGGGCAAGGTCATGCCCCCCCCCCGCCCACGCCCGAGGCCCTCTGACTGCTCCCACCCCACGGCCGGAGTCTTCTCGCCTCCCGGGTGGGGGCGGGTACAAGCCTCTGGGGACCTAGCCCCTACCCGGGCCCTGACCTTAGTAGGACGAACCCCCCTTTCTCACGCTACCTCCCCCTTTCCTCCCGCCAGTCCCGTAACCAGATGAATCTCTTCTCAAATCTGGTGATAAATGAGAATGGAGAGATTAGAGGATCGACCGGTTCTGAGCCTGGGGTTTTGGGGGAAGGAGCTGGGCAAGGATAAGTTTTGGCCAGAGAAGCCTCCAGGCCTGGAGAGGAAAAGCAGACACATTTCTGGCTGTCAGGTGCTGGGGCTGGGAGAGTCTCAGGGGTCTGCCGGAGTGTGGACACCTCCCCAGGCTGGGTGCAGTCTTATTTCTGAGAGGCATTGAGGGAGGAGGAGGGAGCACGCATGTGGGGTCTGTGGCCAGGAGTGTGAATTTGTGAGTCTGAGCGAATTTGTGTGTGTGTGTGTGTGTGTGTGTGTGTGTGTGTGTGTGTGCGCGCGCGCGCACACATACATAGGTGGGGGCCCCTGTGTCTGGGGGCGTCTAGGGGATGTGGGCATGTATATGAGTGTGGGTTTGAGGTCTGGCTCAAACCCCAGAACGGCCCCATCTCATGCTCCTCTTCTCACCACCAACATTTCATTAAACTCATGGGTCTGGGATTCAAGGCCCTTTAGCAACGCTTTTAATAGCACAATGGCCCAGCTGCATTTCCTACCTCTGCTGGCTCCCCATCCTCTCCTTGTCAGTTAATAACAGCTCAGGTTCGCTTCTTTGTGCCAGGCTCAGGTGTAAGCCTTTTACATGTGTAAACTCATTTATCTCTCACACAATCTTATGAAAGAAGTACTAATTATCCCCATTTGACGGTTGAGGAAAGTGTGGCATAGCTAGGAAGTGGAGGATCCAAGACATCTGGATCCAGTCTACATTAGAAATCACTATCCTCTGTTGCTTCAACTTTTACTCATTCTCTAGGCACTTCTTCCTCCAGGGAGGCTTCCTAGATCAGGTGCTCACAGATTTTATTGATTTCCTGTTCCTGTCACCTGTTCCAGGATTAGGAACCGCTTGTAGGAAACAGAGGCTGGTAGGGCACAGGCCGCTACCAGGGGGCATTCAATCTCCTTAGAGATGGTCACCACACAGAGCCCTGATGAGCCAGGTTGGGGAGCTCACCCAGCACATTCTGAAGCCTCCTCATACCCCCAACTCTTTATACTCTTCCTTAGTTCCCCACCTCACTCCCTGCACCCCAGGCTTTAACCCCATCCCCTCGGCCACACTTAAAGGAGATGACCTCCTATTAGGTCATCTCCTAGGAGAGAAAGTTTTCATGGAACTAGCCCATTCTTCTCTCCCCAGAGGACCCAGCCCAGCACGGCCTCCCCGCCAATCCCTTCCATGCCTCATCCTGTTCCTGGGACCTGCTCAGGCCTCTGCTGTGTGCCCTGCCCCTGTGGGGTCTCTGGCTGTCAGCTCCAATCTCATCCCTCCTTCCTCCTTGTAAGCAAGACTCTTCAGGTAGTACCAGAAACCTAGTTGGACTTCCTCGCTGCTGGTCACGGGATTCCATTCCGCTGCTGGTCACGGGATTCCATTCCGGCTGGAAGGGGAAGGTGGCTCATTGGTTAATTCTCTCCCTAGAGCATGAACCTTCCCTACTCCCCTCCCAGTCCCAGGGAGTAACTAATCCCCACCCAATGACTTTAAAACAAGCTCTCAAGTAAAGCAGTCTCCGGCGAAGACCTGAACAGAGGGCCAGCCCAGCTTCCCCTCTCCTAGTTTCAGAGTGGTTTATGCATTAGGCTCTGGGATGCCAGTCTCCTCTGCCTGAGCAGGGCAGAGGCAGGCTCCACAGGACCTCGTGGGTTTTGATGCATACAAAGCATCTCCAGGTTCGTTTCCTCATTCACGCTGACCCATTGCCACAGGTGAAGAAGCCGAGGCAGTCTAGAAAGCCTCTGGACCCTGTCTGCCCCACATCAGAAGTCCAGAAATAACTCCAGCACTTCCTGTCATCAGGCCTCCAGCCTACCTGGTGGGCAACGGCATCCCCTGGGGTCCTGCCTCAGTTTCTCTGCCCCAAACTCTGGCCTGGCTGTGCCCTAACTCCCTGCTCTTGCCCGGTTTCTTCAGTTTCTTCTCTCGCTCCCCACCACACCAGGGGCTGGGCCTGCCCCTAGAGCCTCAGTGACTGGCAGGGCCCCATATGATCCACCACTCTGGCTCCTTGGTCTGGCTTTATCTTTTTCTCAGTTCAGACAGCTCTTTTATGGAAAGGAATACTAGGCAGCTTTATTTTTAAAAGCTTTTTTTTTAAGATGCCTTTCAAATTTTGGATTCAAATTCCTTAAGGAAAAATTTGATTTTTTTTTTTAAAGAAAAATGTAAGTGTGCATCACAAAAGCACGATTTATAATAACTCTCATTAATGCAGTTTACTCTGTGCCAAGTAGAGTTCTAAGCATTTTGCACATTATATATTCATTTAATCCTTGCAACAACCCTGTGAGGTCCTTACTACTATTGTCTCCATTTTAAGATGAGGTAACCGAGGCACAGAAAAGTAAATTGACTTGCCCAGGGTCACAGAGACAAAAAGCAATGGTGCCAACGTCCAAATCCAGGGGTCTGGCTTCAGAGTCTGTGCTCTTAACTGCTGGCTGTGCTCAGAAGAGCCTTCACACATTTAGGAAAGAGCCCCTTCTAAAAATTCACTATCTTGTGCTCTTAGAGATTGACGTTGTCTCCTTGTTAGAGATCTCCATGATTAAAGTCGTTAACCTTAAAAATAAAACTGTCAGTTATTTTACCAGGAAAGATGGGTTTATTTGAGGGTAGCAAAGCTTGCAATTCAGAATAAACAAGCTTCAGCAAACCATAGGCAAGTCCAGAGAACAAAGGAGAAGAATGCTCTTTTATAGAGGAAAGGGGGAATTGGGAGGAGCTGTTATAAACAAAAAGTCCACTGGAGTAACCCGGGCGTTTGAAGTGTAGTGGTGGTCACTGGCTGAGTTGTGACAGCCTCTCATTGGCTGGGCTATTGCCCCGCAGGGAGAAAACCTTTCTTCTTCCTGCTCCGGCATTGAAGTATCTGCTTCTTCCTGTTGGTTATGCAATTGACTGGGAGTGACAGTGGGTGAGAGCTCCCCCTTCTGGCCTCCCTGCTGCTTTTAAATGAGGTTTCCTTTTATTAATTTTCCATTATTCGCATTTAGCTATATAACTCTTTGCTAGAACGACATCCCTTAATAAGTGGAATTTGTTAAAACTGGTTCAGTGTTGTTTCTGTTTAAATGGCAAATGTCAAGGTGACAAGAATTATTAATACCTTGGGGCTCCTGGGTGGCTGAGTTAGTGAGAGGCCGACTTTTGATTTTGGCTCAGGTCATGGATTTCAGGGTCCTGGGATCGAGCACCAAGTTGGGCTCTGCACTCAGCATGGAGTCCGCTTCAGATTCTCTCCCCTTTTCCCTCCCGCTCACTCTTTCTCAAATGAATAAATAAAATCTTTAACAAAACAAACAAAAAATACCTTGGGTCACTGTTTCAGTGAAAAGTATACTTTGTGAGGTTTAAAATATATAAACCTTGTTGGGGAGAAGTACAGGGGGACATTAGATTTCTCTGAAATGTTTCAGTTTATAAAAGAACATAATTTTTATTTGTATAATTAAAAACCAATAAAAAATATGCCTTTATTTAATCAATCAAAAAATGCCTTCTGTGGTAGGCAGCCTCTACCTCCTGGTAATTAGTCTTATATAATACCCTCTCTTTGAGTAACTTGCTTTTTTATTTTTTCTACATTTATTTATTTGAGAGAGAAGGTGCGTACAAGCGAGTGGGGGGGAGGGGCAGAGGAAGAGAATCTCAAGCAGATTCCCCGATTGTGGACCCCATGCGGGGTTCAATCCCATGACCCATGAGATCATGACCTGAGCTGAAATCACAAGTTGGATGCTTAACCAACTAGGCCACCCAGGCGCTCCTTGAGTTAACTTGCTTTTAACCAATAGAATATGACAACACTGAGGGGTTATCCCTTCCATGAGTAGGTTGCAGAAACTAATGACCTCTGTCTTGCTAGTACTCTATCACTTTCTTGGCTTGCATGCTTTGATGAAGTGAGTTGCCATGTTGGAAGAACCCACATGGCAAGGAACTGAAAATGACCTCCCTCGGGGAACTGAATGCTCCCAACAAGTAAGACCACAGACCCTAGACTGACATCTTGATTGCAGCCTTGTGAGAGATTCCTGACCTACAGAAATCGTGAGATAACAAACGTGTATTATTTTAAGTCCCTAAGTTTTAGGGTAATTTGTTATGCAGCAATAGATGCCTTTCTTTATACAGTGAATTTTTGAGAAACTAATTATTAAGTCATCATACAAACCCATGTAAAAGAAAAGGTCTAGTCTAGATTGGCACAGCAAATATCTGAAGTCATAGACATGCACTATAACCACATCTGTCAGCACCATCTGAGGAGCCTAACTCAAGTCTTTTGCAGTCAGGGCACCCTTCAGGGAGGTGGTGGTTCTAGGGCAGGGTTGAGTAGGAGTGTGGGGGCGGGGAGGGAGAGAGCATATGTATCCCTCACCATCAATGCCTACTGCCCCCCCAGCCTTCAGGCCCAAAGGTGCCTTAGGACAAGGGCAATCCCATACGGGGCTCTCAGGCTGAAGCCAAGTCACCCCTGTCAGACCAAGAGGCCCCTGAGGAGAAACTTCTTGTCACCCCCATCAGCCACAGCAGGCTGAATTACTCCTCCCCAGTGACTTTCCTCCCGTCTGTCCCCTAGCTCCCAGCCCAGAACTCTGCTCAAAAGGGCAGCTCACACGGTGTGGAAAAGAGGCCACCAGACAATGGGTAGAATAGAAACACAAACTCAAGAAATGTATTTCTCTGCCCCAGTTTATTCACCCTGGCTTGGCCCAGAGGCCAGGTTCATACTCAACATGCAAGGGCTAGACACAAAAGTCCCCAGGACCATTGCTTCAACCTCACTAATATGCCCTTCACCCACCGTCAGGGATAGAACTCTTTAGAGAGAGGAAGAGCACCCCCATTTCGCAAATAGGGAGACTCAGCGTCATGCCACTGCTCACCCATCAGGATCTTGCATCCTCATGGCTCCCAAAAGCAAAGCACAGAGCTTGGCTACCTTAGTCCTTATTTCTCCCCAGAATTCACCCACTCTCCATTTCACAGAGCCTCTGCTGGAGCCAGTCAACCCCCACTGAAAAGACCATGCAGTGACGGAAGGGGTTATGACCCAGCATCCTGAGAGCTTCCAGAGGCTGGGCTGACACTGCCCCCTGCCCACCCTGGAAAGCCGACTATGGCTCCTCTGGGCCTAGACAGCCTGATTTCAGGAAAACAGACCAACCTAATTGAACATCCAGTGTTGCTAAAGCCAGAAAGGGACAGCAAGTAGAGGCACAGAGAAGAAAGTGAGATTTTTTTTTCCCCAGCAGTCTTGGAGCACCTCATCCATTCCTTGCAAGCGTATAAGTGCACATCTGCTTTCATCAGAAGCTTAAATCAATATGGGCTGCAACCGCTCCTTTGCCGTGGAGAAGCGTGGTTTGTTTCCAAGTGATGTTTTAGAATTCCCTTTCTCCTATTCTTCACAAGGTTCTGCCGCTGTCATCTTCCCCATCCCCATCTCCCATGTGCCCCAAGGCAGAGTTCAAGTGGGACTTTATCTTCTTCTCTGATCCCACCCCCACCGTCCCTGCCGCAGTGTCGATCACCAACCCCAGCTCCCCTCCCTCATACTCATTCTCTACCAGTCGCCCTGGCAAAACTGTAGCCAAAAAGCCATGGCAGGCCAGAGCAGCCACCACACTTCGTCCACAGCAAATCCACCATCAAGGACAACAGCCTTAGCAGAGCGAAGTCTGAGAGGAGTGATGGGGAGAGGGTGGAGAGGTGGCTGGGAAGTCTCAGGGGTATGGATCAGCCACAACCCTCAGATAAATACTGCAGCCAGCCCTCTCTCCGGAGCAATGGGACCCTGTGGAGAGAAGAAGGCTAGGTTGGCAACAGGTAACACAGCGTGTGGATGCCCCACATAAGCAACTGAATATGTATTTGCATATACCTCCTTGTGAGTCTGCCTGCGAACACACACGCTCCTACTACACACTTCCCATGCCTGCACCTGCACACACAAAGACACATTCATATACACCCACCACAAGCCTACACACTCACTCAAACTCACTCATACACACACACAACTTTTGCATATATATCCTCACTCATGCACATATATGCACATTGTTGGATACCTGTTCGTGCACACATATACAAACTTACTCCCTCTCACATACATGCTGTACACACACATATGTGCACACACATAGGCCTGCACCTAAGTTAGCTTCTGTGTACATACAGGTCCATGCCTGGACCCATCTGCCTACATGTTAGCACGTACATACTCACGTTTGCTTACCTGCACTCATACCAGCAAATAATCATGTACTTACTTGTGCACAACCACACTCATGCCTGCAAATATGGACATACACCCCTGCACCCCTGTGGAGGCACACCCTTAGCCCTGCTCCTGGGGCCCGGATGGGGCTGCCCTCTGTTGGAGACAGCGGATAAGCTCCTTCCGGTTGTCCAGGATGGTGTCGAAGCTCTCCTGCAGACGGGTCTGCTGGTCTACCAGCTGCTGCTGCAGGCCCCGGATCCACTGCAGCAGGGCCAGGCGGCGGTACATCACCAAGTGCACGTGGTGCTTCTCCTTTTCCTGCTCTTTGTAGCGCTCCTGAGCCTGCAGCTGCTGCACAGCCTGGGCCACCGAGGGCAGAAGGGCATCTGGAGGGCCCGGGCCTCGAGGGGTCCCACAGGCAGGCTCAGGACTGCTGCTGGGGCTGTCAGTGCTCAGGGAGCTGCTGGCGTAGCCGTTGTCCTCCAGCGGGGAGCACACTGGGCTGGCACCACTCAATTTCTCAGGCTCAGCTCCGGGGATTTCTGCCCCCTCTGGTGGGCTGCGCACCTCCCCCTCGGGGAGCCCAGGGGCCTGGAAGACCTGGTTGTCAGAGGGCAACTCAGAGGAGCTCTGCATCAGGATGGGCTCCACGTGGCCTGGCATCCCATGCCAGTTCTCATTGGCATCTTTGGCACTCGCCATGAAGTTAGAGTTGCTGTCTGGTTGGAGCTCCAGCTGACATACTCCCGGCGGGCCCCCCAGGAACTGGCCGCCCTCAGCCACCCCTGGCTGGATGGCAAACATTTGGTCTGTAAAGGGGAAGCAGAAGAATGAGTTAGAGCAGGACGGGGGTTGGGGGGTGGTATGGGGTGGTGTCCGAAGTCATGACAACCCAGCTGCTGGGGCAAGGCCGTCTCAGTCCCTTTCCCTCTGGCAACACCTCCTTTGTGGTTCTCCCCCTCTTTCTCTGTTGACTCAGACTCCTGCATAGGGTTTTCTCAGCCCTCTGAGACAGCTTGTCTTCTCGTTCTATGCATGTCTCCCCAGAGGACCTCATCTTCTGCTGTAGCTTTAAGAACCTTCAGGTGTTGGTGACTCTCAGATGTGTCTCCAGCCCAGATCCAAACGCTGTCCAACTCTGCAACCAACCATAGGCTCCCACTCTCCATTCAGTCACTCCAGCCAGAAACCTACGAGCAGCCCGGACTCCTCACTCAGCTTCCTCCCCCATCTCACTGGCCACCAAATGCTGACAATTCTTCCTCGTAAAAACCTGTGTGTGTATGGACAGACGTCAACCCTCACTTTCACTTGGTTCAGGTCATTTCTTACCCGGATTACTGACGGCCACAGCCTTCTCACTGATCTCCCTGCCTCCAGTTAAAAAGGTAAACTTGATTTGTCACAGCTCTGGGTGCCCTCTCTAAACTGCTGAACCTCCACATGGCCTACAAGGCTGTGCTTCAGCTGGCCCTTGCTCACCCCTCCGGACTGGCCTCTTCCACCCCAAACTGCTCAGAAATCTCCGAAAATACCATCTTTCACCTCACACAATTCCCCTGGCCTGGGGCGCCTGGGTGGCTCAGTCGTTAAGCGTCTGCCTCCGGCTCAGGTCATGATCCCAGGGTCCTGGGATCGAGTCCCACATCCGAGTCCCACATCGGGCTCCCTGCTCGGCAGGAAGCCTGCTTCTCCCTCTCCCACTCCCCCTGCTTGTGCTCCTGCTCTCGCTGTTTCTTTCTGTCAAATAAATAAAATCTTAAAACAACAATTCCCCTGGCCTCTAAGCTCCTCCCTTCTCCACCAGCAAATTCCTTTCCAAACTCAAAACCCAGCTCTCATATCCCCCCTCTCTGAAGCCTCCCTGATATCCTTCCCCAGCACACAGAACTAAGCACCGTTAACTACGCACTTCCCCTGGGTCCCCACTGCTCCGGTACACACTGCTTTGTCTGTATTTGTTCCTTGGCCTTGGAACATAGCTGATGGTCAGTCGATGTCTCTATGTAGTCGTTTGGGGGTTTGTTTTGGTTTTGGACTATCTTGTGATAGCAGCTTGCACATGTGGCTCCCTGACTAACCGCGGAGTTCTTCCGCATATCCTCCGTCATACCCCCGGGGCCAGCACGCAGCCTGGCTCTACGCGGGTGTCAGTACACGGTTGCTGCGGGAGTGATGGGGGAGGAGGACTGCAGTGGGCTACCTATGCTCGGGAAGAGGGAGCCAAGAGTAGCAGGAGGCTACTGCAGGCTGCCCAGGGCTGGAAGACCGGGCTTCAGTTCCCCCCTCGGCCCCAGGGAGCGCCCCCTCCCGCCCCGCCCCCCATTGACAAGCCTCTCTTCGGACCTTGCCCTCTTCCCTCTGCGTCTACTATCTTGTGCCCCGCCCCTAGCTTGCTCCATCCTGAGGCCCCAGAGGGAGGGCATATCTTTCCTCCCCAATAACCACCTCTTACCAAAATTAGGATTTGAATCGACAAGGGGTTTCTACTGACCGCATAGTGCTAGGATTAGAAAAACAGGGGATCAGTGAGAGTGAGGGATAGTGTAAGTACAGCAAGCACTAAGGTTTTTATAGGGGGCAGGGACCCTCCCTACATTCAGTAGTGGGCAAAAGTCCTGGGGGGTGTAGGGACGGTCCCTTAGTGACCTACACGCTCCCATCCCTCTAAGCAGTCTTGGAGATCTTCCCCGGCCCAACTGTTTTCTCTTTTTCCGAAGCTGGGCGGGGCCACAAGGCAAAGCTCAGACGCGGTGGCTGTGGTCCTAAGGCCCACGGGGTTCTCAGGGATGGTGAAATGGGAACCCAGACACCCCAGGATCAGGCTTCCCCCCAAGCTAATCTGTAGTCGGCCGGGGTCGTGGATGGGGCGGGTGGGGGCGCTTGTCTCAGTAATGGGGGAGGCGGCCTCCCTTCCTGCCTAGTCCTGCGGGAGGGGACTTCCCCAGGAGACAGAGGATAGAGACCGTCCTTCCCTAAGCTCCCCATAGGAGGCAGCTGGGCGGAGGCTGCGACACCCCACCCC